CCCCACACACACACTCGCTCTTTCTCTCTCTCTGCCTTGCGCGCGCACGCGCGCGCGCCCCCCTTTAACACACTCACCAACGCTTGCGCTGCTGATGGGTGCAAATGCCCACACCTATGTACACACAAACACAAACACACTTGCACGTGTGCACACACCAGGTGACCCTGACATGCTCTAAGTTCACCATCACATTTGACAAGTACGTGGAGGACAGCGATCCGAAGATTATTGCAAGCGTCACCCTGAAGGTGACAGCAGATGGATGCGATCAGAGCGGGGCTGGGTGACCGCTGTGGTGGTGCTGGTGAAGACGTGCTCGTTCTGAGGGCCTGGCAAAAGCACGGGCTTCATTAACGGGCTATTGCATGCTGCGGGTCGGGCCAGCCAAGGGCCACGTGCAGTGGGGTGCGCACATGGGGGGAGAGGGCGTGTACGAGCAGGGGTGGGTTCGAGGCGCATGCATGTGTGAGTGTGTGTCCGGGCAGCAAGCCTCATTTCTGCTCCCACCACTTACGCTTGGTGCTCCCCGATGCAGGTGCCTGGCTCTCTCGAGTTTTCGAGCCCCTTGACAGGCGTGGTTGTACCCTAGGCCGGCGCTGCAGCAGCCGGCGCCCCCCTCACCACCACCGCCGCCTTTAAGCCTGCGCACCCGGATTACACGCGCATCGAGCGGGCGGCTGGCCGCGCCGGTGCGCCAGTCACGCGCTGCTGCCAGGGCAGATGTGCGTCGGCTGGGGGGCGGCTGTCGAACCGCGCTCGCAGGCGCTGTGGGCATAACAAACGCTTTACCAGGGCATGGCAACTCGCTGCAACCTGTGATAGATCCACCACATGCTTTCAGGCAAGCAAACCTTGTGGGACACGGAGGTGCTGCGCGTTGCCACCCGCCGCGCATCATTGATGCCTCCCCTTTTCAATCAAAGGCTGCGCGGCCCCGGTCCCTGCCTGCCGGCACCCCGCTGCCTGACCCTTCGCTGCCCAGCAGCCCGGTACTGTACCAAGTCGCCCGATGATGAGGACTGCTTCAATTTGCGTAACTAGCACCCTGCTTGCCTGCCGTCGAGCCTTGTGCTGGCCCCTTAAACACCACAAGCGTCCCCATCCACGATGTGTGCGCGGCACGCACACCCGGAAAAGACACGCTTGCTCAAGCGCAGCGCACATTTCATGAACCCTGAGCACACACCCGCAGGTGCTGTGACACGTGCTGAGCCCTTGCATGACCCCTTGCATGACACTTGTGCGCGCCGGTATCACAACCTTGAAGGCTCTGCGCAGCCCTGTTGTGCTGCCTATGCAGGCTGCGCCGGCTGCGCTTTTATGTGCGTGCGTGATCTGTCCGCCAGTCCTGTTGTTCATGCACAAGATTGGACCTCCAACCTTGGATCTGCACGACGGCCCCACTGATCTGGCCGGCAGCCCCCAGCAAAGGCCTCATGGCAGGACGGACACTGTGAACATGAGGCTTCTGCACAAATAAATCATATGGACAAGGCCCTCAAGCGCCCTGCCTGCTGCGAATTTCCTTTTTTATCTCCCCGATTTCACGCCACACACTGCTCGCGCGCCGCACGACCCCATGCCTACACACCACGCCTGCCCACAGCATTTGCGCACTGCTTGCATCCCCACGCCGCCTGTTTGTTTTATCATACTGACAACATCTGTAACTTGAGCAACCCACACAATAGGATACCATGTGGATATGGTATGTGCACACGAGTGCATATACACACGTTTACATAGAGAAAGCTGCTGTCCCTAAGCACAGCGTCACGTCCAGGGGTAGAAGTTTGGGAACATCACGGCCCCAAGCGAAGCAAAAGCCCAACAGTAGCCCCACAGCAGCGCCCCAATCGCGCCGCCGGCGCCGCCGCTGCCGTCTTTGCCGCCCATCGCTGTGGGGGCCCTGCTGCTGCTGCCGCCGCCGCCGTAGAGCAGGAGGTGGGCTGCGAACCAATAAAGCGGCGGGCAGCTGGCCGACAGGAAGCGGGTGGCCACCTGCGGGCGCCGACGGGTGGCGCGGCGCGTGAATGCGCGCGTATGCGGGGGCGCTTCAAGGTTGGCGCAGCGCGCGCCAACTCTCCCTTCCCTGTCCCCTGTCCTATGGGGTGGCTGCTGCAAAAGCATGGTGGGTCAAACCACAAGGCTTTTTGTACCAAATCGAGCCTCCTGTGGGCCGTCGCAGAGTCCCAGTGGCCCCGCAGTCTGCGCAAAAAGCAGAGCAAGTGCGCGGCGGGACGGCGGCGCCGCACCTGGACGTGCATCACCGACAGCGCGACCAGCGCCAGCGCCGCCCAGTGCACCACGAACACGGCCACGCCGCGGCCGTGGCAGCCGCGCGGATCCGGCGCGCCGCCGCCCTCCTCGCCCTCAGGGGCGCCCTCCTGCACGTCCCCCGCCGCCGCTGCCGCCGCGGCTGGCTCCTGCGCCGCCGCCATATGCACCTGCCTGGCACCCACTCTCCGCCTGGCGCCGAGCCTGCCACCCCCGATGACGCCGCCAACACCGCTGCCGCCTCCATCGCCGCCGCCGCCGCCGCTTTCGCGGTTGCCGCCGCCGCCGCTTTTGCTGCCGCAGCCGCAGCCGCTGCTTTCGCTTTCGCCGCCGCCGCTGCCGCCGTCGCTACCTCGTGTCGCGCGAGAGAGCCGCAGCAGCTGCCGCCGCGTGAGCAGGCCGCCCGTTAAGAGGTGCGGGCCCTGCGCCCGGGCGTAGCTGCGGATGGCCCAGAAGCTGAGCAGAAGGACTGGAGAAGCCAGCAGGAAGTTGGGGATCTGACAGGCGTCAACGATACCGGGAAGAGCGCAGGATGAGGGGACATGTTGGAGATTTGCAGGCGGAAAAGCGTGAGTCATGGCTATGAGTTGCCCACTGTGGGGCCCTGCGTGCGAGCATGCCTTCACACGACCCTCCCCAAACAGCAGGGCGCTGCATATGCAGAAGGCGAGACATGTGTCCCTGAAACCCTCAAACCCACTGGCTTTTCAATTTGAATTGAAGATTCCACAATGCTTGCACAACCCCCACCTTCCCACCTGCTTCGCCTCATAGTACTTCAAAAACCCCACCCCCCAGTACTGCTCCTGGACGAACCCGTAGATGCTCGGCAGCTTCCCGCGACACCAGGGCCGCGGCGCCGCGGCCAGGGGCCCCAGGAGAGCCCCCGCGGCGCCGGCAGCTGCCTCAGCGCCAGCGCGGCCGGTGCAAAAGGCGCGCCAGCCGGATCGTTGAAAGGCGAGGTAGGGGAGGGCAACGACGGCCGCGAGCGCGGCGCCTTGGAGGGCCGAGCCCGCAGCGGCGGCCTGCGCGGTTGGGGACGGGGTGGTGCGAGGCGCCCGGGGCGGCGGGGCCGACGCATTGCGGCATCGCTGCATTATGACTTGGGCCGAAGGGGATCCCAAAAGTTGCAAGTCACTGCGGCAGCGCGGCAGCGGCTGGCGCGACGGCGTCACGCCCCCGGTCGTGCGAGCCGGCCGGCGCGCGACCTGGCGCCGCCCGCGGGGGGGAATGGATGGTGACGCAACCCGGGCAGCGCGCGGGCGCCGTCACCTTGCGGCCGGCGGGCCAGGCGGCCACCGCCCTCCTGCCGTACTCGTGAAGCAAGAACCCGGCGTTCATCAGGCCTGCGGGTCGTCGTTCAGGGCGCTGCTCTTGCAGAGAGCTGCCAGCTGCGCGTCTCAAACGCGTCTCCAGGCCTGCCGCAGGCGAAACCCGCGCACAAGCGGTGTCTGGCTCGGCGGGGCGCAGCACCGTCGCGCACAGTAACAGGTCAGAGAGGCCTCTCGCCGGATTGTGAACAATGGTTTAGATGTGGTGCGCGATCTCATGCGGGCGTCGACGCCAGGGCTGCCGCGAGACATACCATTCGACCGCAACCATGTGGAAGCTGCAAATGCCGCGGCCGCGAGCACGCCCGAGCCGCGGCAGTAGAGCGCCCACAGCCCCACGGCCGTGCAGCAGAAGAAGGCGGCCTCAGAGTAGGGGGCCGCGTGGAACACAGAGGCGGGGTTGAACACAAAAAGCAGGGTGGCCGCGGCGGCGAGGCGGTCGTCCCTCAGCACATGCTGACTCAGCCTGCGAAATGCGGATCGATCAAAAGGGTGGCATGAAAAGGACAAGGGGCGGCGTGGCAAGCTTCATAATCGTCAATGACGAGCTCAACACGGCTCGGCAGTCCTGGCAGGCAGCCGCCAGCGCGGCAAGGCCGGCGCGGCCACGCGCAGGGTTGGGCGCGGTGAAGCTTCCTTTTGGGGGCGCGGCCGCACGCGACGGCGCTTTGCCCTGCCCCCCACCTCTGGAGCCTGCGAGTGCTCGCACCGTGCAAGAGCCGCCGTCGCTATGATAAGCGCCGCCAGGTTCACTGCGACACCAGCCGCCGCGAACGCGGCCGGCGGCGCGCCGCCGAGCGGCAGCAGGGCCCGCACGAGCGCTGCCGGGGGCCGGCGCGAGCGCGCGCGCGCGCGCGAGACAGATGACGCGCTGGTTAGCGGGCGGGGCTGGGACGGGGTGGGCGTGGCGGCCGGCTGCGGGTACTCTCAAACTTACCACTGCAGAGAGATGTACGCCGGCACGTGCGGTGCTTGCGAGCCGGCGCGCTTGCGCAAGGCACCGCGCCGCTCCACGCCCTTGTCTGGCCGAGCGGAGCCGTTTGAAACGTGACAGCTGCTGGCAACGGCCGCGGCCTGCTCACCAGGAAAGCCCGGGAAGAAGGCATAGAACTGCTCATACTCGTAGCCACAGGCTGCTACCCTGTGAAAGAAGACACTGTCCCAGACGACCAGCGCTGCGGGGGCGCGGCGCGCTGCGGCGACATGCTGTGGCCACTCCGTTCCGCAGTCGGCGGACAGCAGGTGTGCCGAAGTGTCGTAGTCTGGTAAGGCGCGGTCTAGCAATAATAAGATAGTGATGTATGATAACCTCCAAGTCGCAGCGATGAGCAGGATGCGCCCGAGACGAAGCATGCCGTCCAGATCAGACTGCGTCCATTGATCGCAGCAATGTTGGTTCAAGCTTTTGGAACCCGCTTTTCCCCTGCCCTGACATACCCCTGTCGATGCCTGGTGCATCCCCAATGACGATGTCGCTCGTCACCTGCGCCCTTGACTCGTTGACATGAGGGCGACTCAACACTGGTGCCCTGCTGTTGCACAGCTACCCTGGCGGCCCGCTGGCGGCATTCGAGGCGCTGCGTGCTGCGCCACCATGTAACGTTCGTGCCCAGCACTGCAGGTGCATTGCATAACGTCAACAGCACTGTGCAGCACTTGCATCGCAACACTGCCGGCTGTCACCTGCCAATGCTTGCCTGACAGCTGCACATAACTGCCGACAGGGGGAGGTGGTGTGTTTGATTTCCCCCCATATAGTAGCGGGCTCCCACCCAGCTCATGATCGTCCTGGAAGGGCATGTAGCTGCAGCAGCGGCTGGGACAGCAGCTGGCACGGCTGCGATGGCTTCATGATTGCCCATAGCAACCAAATCTGTGCGCCACCAAATCCAACAGTGATACCAGGAATCCAGTGTGCAGCCAACCCACGTTTGTGTGGCACCGGCGATCAGTCAAATTGGCTGCTCAGCTGATCGCCGGCTGCGGTAAGCGCGCCACCAAGCACTGGTTCTTTCGGTGTGCTGGGCCAGCGCAAGCTTCTGCGGGAGCTAGCAACCCCAACGCGCAAGAGATGCCTCCAGAGAACATACGGCGGCACGCCCAGCAGCAGGTGACATACACAAGAGGAGCAAATAGAATACGGGGTCATCTTGCCTGTGCACACTTTGCAAGGGCAAGGCTGAACTGCCCGTATGCCTAGTCAATTGTCTGTTTGGTAGATGCAGAGGATATCTAGACGACAAGACCGCGCCTTGGTACTGGGGGTGTTGGTTTCAATCGTTCAACCTGGTCAACGCCTTTTGACACCGCGCGCTGTCTGCAGATGAGGCTTGTCGTGACCAGCTATAATCAACCTGCTTCCACAATGCATGCCTGATCCGTTGCGCTAAGGGCGTTCGGTGGTGCTGCACAACGATCCGGAATTTAGTCCATCCTGCTTCCCGGCGAGCAAGGGTGTTTCATCTCTGCGGCGCGTTTCCGGGCCCTCACCTTTACATTTGTCGTGAGCAGCAGTAGCAACAATGGCGTTCGCCATGCGCTCCTCAGCGCTGTCCCGCCCTGCTTTCCAGGCTGTCAAGCCTGATACCAGGCGTGCGGTTGTCATGGTGAGCCATGAGTTTATATTTATTGGGCTGCACGTGCTGGCAGGGCTCATAGGCGTGGTCTGCAGTCTGGTGTGCAGTGCCTGCTGCTGCTGCGCGCCCTTTCCGGTTGCGGCCCATTGGGCTGCGTCGAGTTGATAAGAAGAGAGGCACGATTGGTAATGTTCCAGCATAGCAGCGCAATGGTGGCCAGGCTCCCTCGGCGATGCTCTTGCGAGTCAGCGATCGCCTGCCCAGCAGGGGCTCGTTCTCTGTAAAATGAGTTGCATCTGCACGCCGCACTGCCATCGTGTAGATCTCAATTGCACGACATCAGTCAGCAGCACCCAATTGCGCCAGCCCAGACGATACGCTGCCGTCCCAGCCCACCCGGACGCCCCAGCCCGCGCACCACGCCCCCGCCCCCCGCAGGCCGCCGGCCGCCGCAACGACGTCTCCGACTCGTACGCCAAGGCGCTGGTCGAGCTCTCCGAGGAGAAGGGGCGCCTCGAGCAGGTGCACGCCGACGTGGACGCCGTGGCCAGCCTGATCAAGGAGAACTCCAAGCTGACCGACCTCCTGTACAACCCCGTGGTGGAGGGGGATAAGAAGAAGGCCGTGCTCGCTAAGATCAGCAAGGAGGCCGGCTTCCAGACGTACACCAGCAACTTCTTGAACGTGCTGGTGCAGAAGGACCGGCTCAACCTGCTGCCCGAGATTGTGGAGTCTTTTGAGGAGCAGTACTGCGAGCTGACCGACACGCAGGTGCGAGGCAGCTGCCGGGAAGCTGCTGGGCAGCTGCCGCGCCGGCAGGCAGGGAAGACCCGCATATCCATATACGGTGGATGAGGCGGGTCGGCGCGCTTGCGCCGAGACGCGGGCCGAGGCGTGATCACAGCGTGTGCGGTGACGGACGCAGCACAGGCTGCTGCTGCAGCGGCAGCAGTAGCGGTGAACGCGGCGACTGCGGCGTTCAGGAACAGGCTGCGGCGCCAGCTGGCGTGGCGGGAGGCGCCCTGGGAGGCGTAGCGGTTGCGGGCCATGCAGCGGGCGGCGCGGCAGCGCGGCGGGCGGCGCTTCCACAGCCGGCCGGGGCAGCCGTTGCAGAAACAAAGGCTCGACGTGTTCGGCGATTCAGCTGCCTTCAGCTACGCGAGCAGCAGAGGCGCTGCCTGAGCATCGGCGTGGCAGCAGCAGGAGGCGCGGCGCCGCAGCGGCCACGGCCGCAGCCGCCCAACCCCGTCCCCTCCGCCGCAGCCTCGGCCCCTGCACTCGTACTGAATC